GCAAAGAAATGAATCTATAAAAAACCCAAGACCTTTTTTATAAGCTTAACATCAGAAAACTGTACTTTTATATACAAGTCAGAAAAAATAGTTATCTTTTCAACACACATGAGTGAATTGGGCTGTTGTACCATTTAAGAGGAAAGATTGTGATTAGGAGAAATATTAAAAATTTAATATCTGAATTGACAATCACCAAAACATTTTAAGTCAAAATATGAGTATAAAGTTATCCAGTCTATTGAAACACTTGTCAGCCTTTGATCAAATATTTGGATGTGAGCAGATTTCCTTATCAAATTAAGATGATAGTGAGTTAAAATCCTATTGACAATGAATATTTTAATCTCTAGTAAGAACATTTTGAAAAATTACAAATTGATTTATGAATTCACCCAATGTTTGCTAACTATGGGGTCTATGTATGAAAAATTTGCTTTGCAAATGTCCCATCATTCATGTAAAAGTCACTGATAATAGCTGTAATGTCAATTTACCGATCAGACTCAAGAAGCCCACATCACTCTTATTCTCAAACCAAATAAGGACCTGGCCCAAAGTTCTAGTTATAGACCTATCTCCCTTTTTTAAGGTATACTGAAAGATCCCGTCCAAAATAGTCACATCAAGACTCACTCTGCTTATTCCACAATTAATCCATGGATAACAAGTGGGGTTTACTCCTAATTGAGAAGCGTGTAACAACACCATAAAAACCCTGACCCTCCTCAGGTATGCATAATTGAAAAATGTCCCACTATGCTTATTATCAGTCGATGTGAAAAGGCATTTGACCATCTGGATTGGTCCTTTCTATTCTTCACTAATTCAGATAGGAATCCCTCCAGTAACGAATTCACAGATTGTTGCACTCTATCATCATCCTACTGCCATGACTATGGTGAAGGGAACATTATTCCCACTTGTAAATATATGTAATGGCACTTTCCAAGGTTTTCCTACTCTCCCTATGTCTCTATGTATTTGTTATGAAGCATCTGGCATTAGCCGTTAGTAGAAAATCAGAAATTTGTGTCAATACACCCCAACATTATGGGACCAACACACCCCAAATTACGGTAGGTCTGTATGAAGACAACATGTTGCCATATACCTCAAACTCACAAGTTGCCGTAAGTAAAGTACTCTAAATCACAAGTACTAATTGTCTCCATAAAAACAGAAGCATTTAGATCTTTAAACAAGAAAATTTTCATTGGCAAGCTCAGCCACTTACATTACTACATAGAAAAGTGACGGAAGAAAGAGACTGAGTGGTCCATCGAGTCTACCCATTTTTTTTTGTGTTGTTTTTTTTTTTTTTTGGAGGGGGCATGTTGGTTTTTTTTTTGTACAGGAGGGATTTAGGGGTTCAAATCCCTAAAGAACTTTCAAAATTATATTTTCGCTAAATTACCTACCCCTTTTATAACAAATCATTGTTCATCTTATAAAATGGGTTCTTTGTCACTCTTGATTTTACTGAATTGCATTATTCAAGATGAAAACCCTGTTTCACTTCCTTAATCTTTTCCAAACACTCCCGCTTCAAAACCTTCTTTGCACATCTTCACTCTGCCCGTAATCCGATTTATTTGGGGTGGGAAATCTTCTCCACTGATATATGATATCTTGGTCAGCAGTAAAATCTCAGGAGGATTGGGACTTCCCTATCTGAAATTATACTATAAATCTTCTCTACTGGCACATTTGCTGGATAGACATTACAATGAATCCCATAAACTTTTGGTAACTATTGAGAAGGTGATCTCAACTATTTTACCACATTCTCTTTCTTGGATACAGCCTACAGAGCATCCTAAATCTTCTACTCCCACTTAGTCTTCCTCCTCTACTAAAAATCTGGGACTGTTTTTTAAATTCTTCCAAACCCTCTATGTAGTTAGGTTCTTTGACGCCTCTTATGTGGAATCCAAGTTTTCCTTTGGGCATTGAAAATAAAACACTTTTCTTACGGGATAGTCAAACTCCCTCAACTATGTGATGTTCCCTAGAAGTAGGACATCTAAAACCTCTAGCTTTTTTTATTACCCTCATTCTCTATCCCCAATTGGCACTAGCTCTGATATATTGAACTTTGTGATTTCTGATCTTCATTGCATTGGGCTGACATGCCCCTGTCCCTTTTTGAATAACTGTGTCATTGCCCTGATAGACTGACACATGATTTTTCTACTTTTATGGTATTTGCAGCAGAATGGGAATGAGAGCTTTACTGCACTTTCTCTGACACTGATCTTCTCAAATACTTCAACCTCACACATAAATTTACAATGATGTCCTTAGCACAATAAAGGAGCTTTAAATTCTTGACTTGATGGTATATATGCCCTTATTCGTTACTCAAAATTACACGTTTCACCCTAAATCCCTATTGGAGATGCAAGGGAGAAAGGGCTACAATATCACATGTGGTTGGAATATTCAACCTTTTTCCTATATTCCGCCATGTCATTTTATGTGACATAGCACAAACTACTCAAATTGTTTTATTATCAATCTTACCTGGATCTATTTCTCATATAAGGAAAGGTCTGCTTTGTTTCTATTTATAATCAATCACCTGAGCGGTAACATGTCTTCACTGGAAATCTCCAGCAAGCCCTACAGCTGTTCCTGAATGGGCTAAGGAACTGTTTCATACCATGATAATGGATAACTTGATTTCCAGTTGCATGAAAGATATAACATTCATTTTGAAAGTTGGAGTCCCTGGTTTTTATACATGGACTTGGAATACTTTAAATCTTATCTAAAGTTTAGGCCTGATCAACTTAGTCATCCACCCTGGATGAAGGCTTCTGGTAGTGTGCTTAAAAGCTTGCACAATCTCTCTTTTTACTAATTCTTTCTATCTTCGTATCCTCCCTTTATGTTTCCCTTTATTTCTTTTTTGATTTAGGTGACCTCTTGTAGGTCATCTACCAAGACAATATCGGATGATCTGTGGGTTTAATATTGTTATTTCCTGATGTAGGATGATTGTGTCCTACTACTCTTTATGTGCCGTATGATGTTATGGCTACATGATGCTCTGTCCATGTTAAGCATCGTATATCATAACCCTTTGTTTGAAAATTCTACCATTTCTTATGTACAAACCTGTACTTCTATTCTTAGAGAAAAAAAAATAATACTTGTAATATTTGTATTACGTGTGTAATGTCAGTTTCTGTTGCCTTTTCTTTGGGTGAATGTAATATTCCCTAATATTTGATCTTAACAGAAAATAGCCATAAAAACATTTAACCAATAGTGAAAATAACCCAACACTATAGGCTAAGAGCATTTGACTCTAAGGGGCAATAATATGAGAACGACCCTTACACTGTGTATAAAGTGCATGACGATTCCTGTGCAAATGGCCAAATTAATTTGTGTTTGACTAAACAAACTTCCAGCTGCAGTGGGAAGTCAAACATTTTTTACTGCCAATATTAAATGTGACAACTTTCAGCACTGACTGGTGTTTTAACAACAAGTGACTCATCCCTGTTTGTCACATTCAAGGTTATTATTGTTTTTCTATAATAAAGCACCAAAATTGCCTGGCAACACTGACAATATGGCTATGTCCATATACGGTCAATAATGCCACCTGTAAGACCCCACTGTTTACATTACAGTGGTGGGGTATGGGAGATGCCATTAGGTGGGAGTGAAATGACAGGATCAGGTGTGTTGGTGGTTTTTTTTCTTTCTTTGGCATGGTGGATGTCATTCTACATGGTTTATATGGATCTACACCATTGGATGATGTGATCGATGCTGGATTGATGTTGCAGGACTGTTAAACTGTTTTTTAAACGTATTTTATATAATATGTACCCTTTATTTATTCACATGGGGTGGGAAAATTTGAATCCACTTATTTCTTAAAGAGGACTTCTAAATTCTAACAAGCTCCCATCTGCAGACCCCCTAACAACCACTGGACCAGGGTTGTGGACAAGAGGCTCTTGCCCTTATCAATATGGGAACAAAGTGCTCTGCCATTGCAAGTTACAACCATATTGAGGGCATGCAGCCTTATGTGGTTCAGCACTTGGCCCAATTCCTTTTTTTTTGCATTGGATTCCCTCTTAAAATCCATTCCCAGGCCCTAACAGTCTAGTATGAAATTTGGGGGACCCCCACAATTTTTTTGTGGGTTCTTCTATCACAACCATACCAAATCTGAGGGCCTAGTGTGAAATTTGGGGGACCCCCACATATTTCATTAATTTGATAAAGTCGCCTTTGTTTACATTCATCTACCAGCCAGGTATCGTTGGCTGAAAGCTGTGTGTGCCAAGTGAAGATGAGTCCAGCAGGCGCAGGCTCCTTAAAGCGGAACCCCAGTCTCTGTTGGAAAAAAATTAAAATCTACATAAAAACCATATAAAAACTGTAGCTGTCAACTTTTAAAAATAACCACTCACTTGTCCTAGGATCCAGTGGTGCCCTCATCACAGCTGGGTTCACTGGCCACTCTGTGTCTCCAGCAGCTTACGTGAGGTCACCCAGCTGTGACAGATTTTGGCTTCACAGCTGGGTGCCCACTGCGCATGCACAAGCAGCACTACACATTGTGAATGGTCTTGCAGTCCTCTGGGGGGGGTGAGGGGGAGGAGATCTTCTGCTTCCGATCGCCTAGGCGATCGCAGCGGAAGTGGGAGTGGGTACCTGTCAAAATTGGGTGCCTGATCCCCAAAGGTGCCAATCCTTAACGGGGAGTGGGGGAAGAAGCTTTAAAATAGAACTTCCCACTTTGGGTAGATTCCCACTTTAACAACCCAGATATATGAGCAGGAAGCAATTATATTTAGTTCTGGTAGTAAAAACACTACTAAATATTTTATTTCCCACTGCAGCTAGGGGCTTGCTTGGCTGAACATCCATTCATTCAACTGTTCACATAGGAATCTCCATACACTTTATATACAGTGCGGAGGTCTCCCTCATATTATTTCCCCTTATGGTCGAAGGTTCTTAGCCTATAGTGTTAGGCTATTTTTTCCATTGGTCGAATGTTCTTTAACTATATTCTCTTTGGATCGAATTTTAGGAAATGTTACATTCTACAGCAAAATGCAACAGAAAGGACTTACAATATGCAAATATTGCAAACATTAGTTGTAACTTTTGTGTATTATTTTATGAGTTTATATGAAAGATTAAACAGTTTCAAAGCATTTTTTTATTATATAAATCCATATGGGGTTGATTTACTAAAAGCAAATAGACTGTGCACTTTGCACAGTGCAGTTGCACTCTGCAAGTACAATTGCTCCAGAGCTTATTGAATGAGCAGAAGCTCTGCTGAATTCCATCATCCAATCATGTACAAGTAAAAGTGCTGTTTTTTTTCCTTGCTTGTGATTGGGTATTCTTTGCAAAGTAAAGCTTTACCTCATTTACTAAGCTCTGGAGTAACTGTACTTCCAGTGTGAAACGTCATTTTTCAAAGTGCACTGTCTATTTGCCTTTAGTAAATCAACCCCTATGTGTCTATTTCTTGCATTGCTAAAATTGGTCAAGCAGTGTAGGAGTTACCAGTTATAGTGACAAACTTCTCTGAAATGGTTGCAAAGATTGCTAATGAAGTTCAGCAGATTTTGAAACTAATTAAAGGTCATTCAAATTCCGCCTATATGCCACAAAATATTTTGCTTTCAATGTCTTGCAGGAGATATGTCTCTTCATTTTATGTCCTAGAGTAGCAGCAGGAAATGAAAGGACATATCCCCAAAATGAGGGAGGGGAAATTCTATCTTCTTTTTTTATTTTTTAATTTCCCCTAACAGTCTGTCTTGGTGACAATATAACCAGGACAAAAAAAAGAGTGAATCTCCCCAGTAGAGACAAAGAAATAAATGATAACTTAACCTTAAGCACCCGTCCCCCTAGATCCAAAACTAAAAAAGCCTAAACACTTTAAAGCAATAATTTAGTGTGGTAAGCCGTGGCAGGGCTTGCAATGATTTGCAAGTAAACCTGCACATTTATGCAAACCTATTTGTGGGTTTGCTCAGATCTAGCAATTCCAGCTATGCACTCCCCCTCATCACTCCACAGCTATCATTGCAGCCGTCAGTGAAGATGCAGCCGTCAGTGAAGTTTCTTTTGCTGCTGAGGTCTTCTTCATTTGGCCATAGTTCAGCTAATGACAGTGCAACTCCTATGCATGAAAGATGAAGTTACACCATCCTGGCACTCAGCTCCACTCTTCAGGATCTGACAAGTCAGAGCAGTGAACCAAAAAAATAAATGCTTAGATGGTTGTGCTCAGATAGGAAAAGGATCACATGTAGGAGGGCAATACATTATTAGAGCTTTAACCACCTATTTGTCCTAATGATATATTTGTTTTTTTTTTAGTAATTGTGGGAATATTCCATAGTGGAAGTTAACCCATTTGGAATATATATATATATATATATATATATATATATATATTCTGTTTGTTGCGTGACACACTTCTGTTTAGTTTAAATTGCATCCTTGTAATGATTTGTTCCAGATATAAAGCATACTTCAAGCACTTTCAAGATCATGTCAAGTGTAAATTGTGGTAAACATTTATCGTACCATAGGTAACAACTGCTTGTTCTGTTGGCTGTCAACAGCTGTCATTTTCATCTGCAAGGAAACAAAGACACTCTACATTCTTCTCTATTCAGAATCTTAAATACCATTTTCACCTGAGTATCCCGGCAACGGTGTTCTTTTACGTGCAATCTCTTTATAGATCAGGTGTATAACACATAAAAAGTAGCATCTGGATTTCTTAGATACTGAAGTTTTTTTAAGAAGATGATCTATTAAGTGAATGTTAGAGTATAGGTCACTTTTTTTTTCTCACTTTTCAAAAAGGTTATACTAAAGCAGTTTGCAACCATATTCTCTACCTATATAAAAAAAACCTGTTTAAATGTAATATAACAATGTAAACTCCTGTAGTTTGGAATTTACTTTACTTAGCCAAAAAGTTTTATCTAAAATGTTAAAGTTTAAAAATTATTAAAATATGATTTTAGACTAACATAAGGTACAATAGAATTTTTTTCTAAACAACATTCAATTGTTTAGAAAAAAAAATATTCACAGGCATGCCTCAAAACTATTTTCATTTAAGATTCCAACCTTCTGGTTTTAAGAAACACTTAACACTTAAGAAAAAATTGAAAAGAAAGAAAACTGTAGTCAGTTGCAACTGTTTTTGCAGATCAAGCAGAAGAAAAAAATATGGAATCACTCAGTTTTGAGGAAATATTATGGAATCGTGAAAAAAAAAACCACTACAGTACTAGTACTTTGTTGCACCACCTGTAGCTTTTATAACAGCTTGAATTCTCTGAGGCATGGATTTAATTATCGGCAAACAATATTCTTCATCAATCCATCTCCAAATTTCTCTTATTGCAGTTGCCAGATCAGCTTTGCAGCTTGGAACTTTGCCATGGACCATTTTCTTTAATTTCCACCATATATTTTCAGTTGGATTGAGGTCTGGACTATTTGCAAGCCATACCATTGACATTATATGCCATGACTGTATAGGAATTTTCCAGGAACAGGACTACTCTGCTATGGGTGTTGACACCTTCTGTGCTCTCCCTGTTCTGAGTTCAAACCCTTTACTGTTTTAATGGATCACTTTTATTTTTATTTTCATCTTCAGTACACTGGATGTCTGTTTTTGGACTTGTCTTTAATCTTCTTTCCTGGTTCTGCAGGCTTGCACTTTCTTCCAATACACATAATATGTTCATCATGCTCTCCTATTACAGCCCTGATTCAGCTTGGATGGCTTTCTTGCCTAGGCAGCATGATGCTCTGTCATGCAGTTTTCTTTTGTCTCTGACATCTATCTTTAGTGCCTGGATTTGGCTTATTTCCATTTTTTTATGTGTACTTTGTATGCACTTTTTTTGTTGTTTTTCTGTTCTCTCAAATTTGGACATTTTCCCATTATTGTTTTTAGCTGGAACTATGACATTTGCATATATATATATATATATATATATATATATATATATATATATTTATGTTTTTAAATTGGGTCAAATTTGGACTAATAGTTAACAGAAGAAAGAGAGCGCCACCATCTAAGTGTAGACATTTATTCAAAATATAAAATCATTAGAGACATATATGCACACACTGTAGAAGGTAAAAGACAGGCATGCCAGTCATAGTCCTTCATACAGAGATTGTCCAGCAGAAAGCGGTCAGGTGATGCAGAATATAGCAGGGAGGAGGCTGGGAAGCTGCTGGATGATAAGCGGCATTCACATACCACGCTGGAATGCAAGATGTAGGCGATGTTGCTGTAAACGTCCAGACTGGGCTCTGCAGGACTCAGCAGGTGACATCAGCATGCTGATATAGGGGGTAGGGCCAGGGGTGGACTGACAACTCATGGGGCCCCCGGATAATAGGGGACCATGGGGCTCCTGTGTCGTTGCTCACACTCAAACCACACCCAAAAAGCCTATGAAAAAGGTACCAGGGGCATCTCATGCGGCCCCCTTCTGACCCCGGGCCCTCGGGCAGTGCCCGAGTTCCCAAATGGTCAGTCTGCCCCTGGGTATGGCATATGACATGTGTTTCAGGGCTGTACATGCCCCTTTATCAATGTAGACTAGGATGGTTATTTGAATACCGCTTGTCATTCAGCATCTTCATAGTACAGCTCTGCATACACCAACCTCCTCCTTGCCATAATATGCATCTCCCTATACACTCCTGAACATATTCCCCACATTGTTTTCTCTTTTTTTCATTGCTTCACTGTTATTTTCAATTTTACAAAAATATTCATTTTCAAGTTATTCTCATTACTTACACATTGAGGTTGATTTACTAAAACTGAAGAGTGCAAAATCTGGTGCAGCTGTGCATGGTAGCCAATCAGCTTCTAACGTCATCCTTTTCAATTAAGCTGTGACAAAAAAAAAACTGGAAGTCAGCATTTCTACTATACACCAGTGGTTATAAATGTACAGATAGGCATGAGTAGTGATGAAATTCAAGTCTGACGTTCATTCAGAACTCTTGCTGTTCACAGACCTGTCAAACAAAATTGCGAGATTTGACCACGTTCACTCTCTTGAACCTCCTGCTGCTTCTCAGCTGTCAATTTTAGCATTTTTATGTGTGTAGACCTTTGCTTGCATGGTACCTCATTCATTCATTCAAATCTGTTGATGAATGAACTACAAAGTCCATAACCCAGAAATATAGGTGCAATATGTAACATGGTATAAAAGGTGGAGTTAACTACACGTCAGTATGTTGAATGTCCAAGACGCACATCTTTCAGGCAACCTAGTGCAGCGTAGCAAGTAAACCTTCCAGTAATGTTATGACTAGGCTGGTGTGACTTCAGGGGACTATACCTACAAGCTCACAGCCAAGGCTAGTTGTATGGGGTGCTTGTTAAAGCCAGACAAGTATAACAGGAATAAATAATATACTTCATTTTCTTGATGTAGCAAGGATGTCATAGCAAAGATCTTGGAGTAAACCAAAAGCAAAAATTGTGGGTGCTGCTCAGACTTTGAAGGATCCTAATCTGTGAGCCAACTGCTGTGAGGTGAGTTCCAGCTAGGAGGGAGCTTGTCCTGGCTCCAAACATCAATGTATTGGGAAAAAAATGTCCTGTAAGCTGCACATCGCTGCAAGCTCTATGTGAGATAGTATAACAGCCTCAGCCTGGACTCCAATCAGGCCATGTCCTCCAAACATCATTTATAGTCAGACAAGCCCGTTCACATTGAAACACCAACCCTCTAATCAGAGTAGGCCTACTGACTCTCTTGTGTTCTCCTCACTCTATAGTTCACAATTTCAGAAGATAAAACTCATCATATCTAGACACCTTCCCATTTTACACAGCGATGCCAGCTATAGAATGGTGTTGAGCAGAGGAATCAGATATGCAGCACTCCCCATAGGTAATATCATCTCTCCTAGTCTGTACATTTCCAATCCATCCACACGTACGTGGGTACACACTACCGGTATGTTTTGTTAAAATGGGATATCACTTATTACTATGAGTACCATTCACTATATTCTTTCATTAGTTGCCCATTGGAGTTTAGTGAGGGTTTTGTTAAAAAAAAATTTTTGTCTTTTCATTTCCACTAATTTTTTGGATTACCTTTGTCATCACAAATCCTCTGTGGTCTTGATGTGCATGAGTCCTTGAACCCTTTTTACTGCCAGGTCTGTACGGCATATGGACCTACAGCACTGCTTCCAGCGGGCCAGGTCCATACACCATACAGACCTACATTCCTCCTCTGCTATAAGCTCATGGTCACTTCAGTGACTCCCAGGCAGCTCTGCAAGCCGGATTTGCCTCCACTTCTCCCTGCAGCTGCTGTCTGGGACTCTGGAGATCTGTCAGTGATAGACCGCGATCAGGATGGAGAGCTGGGGGGCTAGTAAACATGTGTTTACCAGCCCCTTTTCTCTCCTGAATGAACAAAGTGATCAGTATTGATTCGATACATCCTCACCACCTGTTTTAACTCAATTTTTGCCGACAAATGCGCTGCAACTGAGTGCATTGCATGCAGTTGTAGGGCCTTTGGGGAGCTTCCTCAGACTTGAAAGTGTAGCGTTCAAAAGTCAAGTCAACTGTGCTGCGGGCGGGCAGCAGAGCATCACAGTCACAGCATTTAACTACTTGCTGCACATTCACATACCTGGTATGTTATTGTGCTTCAAATGATTGTACCGGGGTGATGCCTGCTGGCATCACCCCGGTACACTTTTTAGAGCCTTCTGCCATCTCTCTTGTAATAGCAATTGGAGCAGCTAATTAGTCACTTAATTGCTATAACAAGCAGCGGGAGGGGACACCCCCCTGCAACCTTCTGCGGCTTGATCGAGTTCTACCGTCCCACTGGTACATCTGAGCAATCAGCTGGCTGGTCCTGAACAAAGTTGGGATCAGGTCTCCATAGCGGCAACCTGGAAGTGATGACCTGACATCACTTTTGATTTATCCGGATATCATCGGCACCATTTTCAAACAATCAAAAGCATTTAAACCATCGATCTTGGTGCTTTCAATGCTTTTGAGCATAATGGACTCCAGATCCCTCCATAAAGAGTTCCTGTCATGTATAGTAAGCATATGTGAGCGCACTCAAAAAATAATAAAGCAGCTATGCACAAAGGCAACCAAAGTAAAAACCTCAAAAGAAGAATAAGATGGTAGGGCAGTGCTAAAAACAATATTAAGATCATAAAATTAATAAGAAATTGGTAAAAAATGCTATAATAAAAGCTCATATAAAATAAAGTTCATAAAGTGACTTTCAGTGCTCTTAAACCTGAACTCCCGAATGGAGCATTAATTTTCAGATGCCCTGTGAATGATAACGATCCATCCCAGGACCCAGAGGGATCCTCCTGCCTATCCAAGAGGCAGCATCCACCTAGTACTTAAGGGGAACTCTGGCTGTGTTGGGTCAGCATTTAAAGTCCCAGGATTTGATCGTCCTACCACCCTGCCCTTCAGAGGGAAGTCGCCTTAACATCATATCTACCTTGACTACTTCAGGATATATTCTTACTGGCGCATATTTATTGCGCGTCTGGTGAGTGCGCAATTCTCCGCATATCAGTGCACAAGCACAGACGTACCAGAATTACAAGCACCTTTAAGAGCACTGAAAGTTACTTTATGAACTTTATTTTATATGAACTTTTATTATAGCATTTGTTTATCAATTTCTTATTAATTTTATGATCTTAATATTGTTTTAGCACTGCGCTACCATCTTATTAGTTCCTGTCATGTGCCTATTGCTGTCACAAGGGATGTTTACATTTCATGTGACAGCAATAAAAGTGATCAAAGAAAAAAAAATTGAAAGCAACAGTTTTAAAAATAAAAACAGTAAAATAAATGAGTAATAAAAAAAACATTTAAGTACCCCATCACCCAGTGCTAGACCACAAAGATTAACGCATGCTGTGATCTCGCACACATGCAAACTTTCTGAAAATATAGGTTTTAGGGGGCCTTTTATAAACTCTGAAAGCTGTAAGTGAAAAATGAAAACTTTCAGATTTTTTTTGTGAAATTTGGATACTTACATTTTTGCGTACATTTGATTTTCACAATTTTGCAAAAAGGCACAATTTAAAATTTACAAATTTGCAGGGGGGCTCCCCCCCAAAGCACCTTGTCCCCATGTCAATGAGACCAAGGGCCTCTTCCCCAAACCCTGGCCGGTGGTTGTGGAGGTCTGCAGGGGCTTTTGGAACCTAGAAGCCCCCTTTAACAAGGGGGCCCCCAGATCCTCTCATATGAATGATTATGGGAAATGTACCCCTACTCATTCACCAAAAAAGTGGTGAAAAAGAGTCTCTTTATATATATTTTTTATGTATGTATGTATGTATATATATATATATATATATATATATATATATATATATATAAAAACGTCCCTTGGAGTAGATCCAACAACATCAATCCAAAACCTCCTGACCCTAAAAGAGAAAAAAGAATGGTCCACTGCCAGCGAAGGCTCCCACTGAATGACAGCTCTGCAGCCTCTCGCTGCTAAATAGGCAAAGGGGCAGGGCCACCCATTCTCTGTCTATAGACACAGCCAGCATGGCTCAGGATCAAGCCTGCATGAGTGCCCTCATAGGAAGCAGTTTCCAATGGCGGCACTAGCAGAAGTGCATTAAGAAAGTAAACTTTTTCAACCTTGACACGTGTTAGTAAAACCGAAGATAACATCACTACTAACTACTTTTTACAGCCAGGTGAATTACACCTTGTTTTTTTTAGGACAATTTGAGCTTTAATTTGATGAAACTGGTCCAAAATTGTTTTAAAAAAACATAAATGTTTTTAAATTTAGCTGTATATTTCTTGCTACTTCTATAACCTACCACTAAAGAACAATTCCCCCCCCCCCCCCCCAAAAAAAAAAAAATTTTTTTTTCTTGATTAAAGCAATACCACATGCACTATATGTATGCTATTTGTTTGTGCCCATAGTACAGACCAGAAACAATAGTGCACATTTTGCTTTTTTTGTCCTACCTAAGACACACTAACTCCCTGACCCTGACCTTTGACCCTGACCTTGACCCAAACACTAACCCTGCACTGACCTAGATCAAACATTGATCTAGGTATTTTTTTCTTTTTTTTTTAATATTTATTTATTTTTCTTTTATTTTTACACACTTGTTTTTTTGTTCTCTCTGCAAGGAGAGAGAGAGATACAATGTATCTCTCCCCTCCATTCAGAGAGAAAGAAAACACAGGGGTGGGTTTTACAGTAACTGTTCACTGTGACAGCCAATCAGAGGCTATCACAGCGATCAGGTGACCTGTAATCGAGATTTTCGGGTCATGATCGTTAGTATGGGACCTAGGGCTCTCATGACACCCCAGTCTTTGTACTGGGACTTCGTCATGTGGCGTGCTCCCAGCACAAAGACAAATATGCAACCCCGTGGAACAAAAACAGTTCTGTGAGGCCGCATACAGTGTTCATGTGACGCCAGCACAAAGGGGTTAAAAAAAG